CCGTAGAACTCCTTTGTGTTTGGAAGCGGAGGGGTGGGGGTGGGGGGAGGACCAGGGAGGATGATTCAACCACTCAACAAAAAAGATGTAGCTGAAAACAACAAATCCTGTGCCTTTCAGCAATACTAAAAAACTTGACAAGTTGCAGTGGTAACTGCATGCTTTTTCTTGTAAAGGCTACAATGAAATGACTTTTTTCTTGTAATATCTTATCTTATATGACTTTAAACTTGTAATATTATGACTTTATTCTCGTAACTTAAAAAAATCTCGTTGTGTGGCCCTAATACTCCGTTGTAGAAAATGCAATTAGGTTATTTTGAACAAATTTGACTTAATCGTCATTTCAGTACGATGGGTCACATTTAATTACTTATTCATTTTCAAGGCAAAGTTTTTATCTTTGTTTAATTTGAGTTGAAAAGAATAAAATGCCTGAGAATTAAATGTTCTAGGGGATTAAATAAATAATTTTCATTTAATAATCAGTTGTACCATTCAGTTTTGGAGAATCATCACTACGTTTGACAGAGGGGGCACTAGTGATTTGACAAAATGGCTCAGGGGTACACAAGTCTGAAAAGGTTGGGAACCACTGCTCTAACTTCTGCTTCAGCAAATATTAAAACAAATAAAGAGTGTCATTCCTTTAAGTGTAAGTCTCGTAAATGTCATTTAGTGACGAGGAGTTGGAGGACAACAAGGCCCTGCTCTACCTGCCCATCGCCCCCGAGGTGGAGGACCCGGAGGAGAACCCCTTCGGTCCTCCGCCGGACGCCTCGGCCCAGACCGGAGCACCAGAAGACGCGTCAGCCGGCGGAGACAAGAAGCAGCGGCAGCCTTCATCTGACGGAGGTCCAGCTAAGAAGAAGGCCCGGACCACCACCATCGAGCTGCAGGGGGTGCCCAGTGACGGTGAGACCTGGACTGAAGGATAGAAATAACCCAAGGCCCGGTTTACGGGTCCTGATTGTAGTTTAAGAGCCGTGTCCTCTCTGTTCTCAGAGCTGCACCCCCTGCTGGGTGGGAAGGGGGACAGCAAGTCCAAGAAGAAGACCGCCGGCCGGCCCAAAGGCTCCAAAGGTAAAGACAAAGACTTCTCCTTCAAGCCTAAACCCTACAGGCGTGATCGGCCCCCATTTCCTGTGGTGCCCGAGGCCCTGGGCAGCTCCGGTCTGGGAGGAGGAGGAGTAATGGGAGCAGGAGGAGGAGGGATGAAGGGCAGGGCAGAGGGGGCCCTGGCCACAGGTAAGAACTCCACCACCCCTGCTGCTGCTGAGTGTGGGAGCGCTGCTGCCCTGCTAGTCTGGTTTCCAAACACCCCACCCTGCTCTGCTTCCACCCCCACCCTGAACCTCACAGCACCCTGACCCCCCTGCTGGAAAGCCACAGTCTGGAGGGCAGGCAGAGTGTGTTTTATTGGTTAGATCTGATCCGGTCTACGGAAATGCTGTCAGCTGATCAGAGTCAGGACTTTCTTCATTTAAGACCAACGGTTCGATAATTAAAGCTTCACGAGTGTAAACCTGACTTTAATAAGACTAAATAGGTCGAGATATAGAGCCTCATGGTGGAGTGAGGTGCTCCAGCTTCCAAACAAGAAACTTCACTCTTTTAAAAGAAAAAAACAAGAGTCCTGTTGTTTGGATTCTGAGCTTGTTTTTAAAACAAAGAGTCATCACGGGCATCTCCAACCTGTCTCCAACCTGTCTTCAACCTGTCTTCAACCTTTCTCCAACCTGTCTCCAACCTGTCTCCAACCTGTCTCCAAACTGTCTTCAACCTGTCTCCAACCTGTCTCCAACCTGTCTCCAACCTGTCTCCAACCTTTCTCCAACCTGTCTCCAACCTGTCTTCAACCTGTCTCCAACCTTTTTCCACCCTGTCTCCAACCTTTTTCCACCCTGTCTCCAACCTGTCTCCACCCTGTATTCAACCTGTCTCCAACCTTTCTCCAACCTGTCTTCAACCTGTCTTCAACCTGTCTTCAACCTGTCTCCAACCTGTATTCAACCTGTCTCCAACCTTTCTCCAACCTTTCTCCAACCTTTCTCCAACCTGTCTTCAACCTGTCTTCAACCTGTCTCCAACCTTTCTCCAACCTGTCTTCAACCTTTCTCCAACCTGTCTTCAACCTGTCTTCAACCTTTCTCCAACCGTTTCCAACCTGTCTTCAACCATCTCCAACCTGTCTTCAAACTGTCTCCAACCTGTCTTCAACCTTTCTCCAACCTGTCTTCAAACTGTCTCCAACCTGTCTTCAACCGTTTCCAACCTGTCTTCAACCATCTCCAACCTGTCTTCAAACTGTCTCCAACCTGTCTTCAACCTGTCTTCAAACTGTCTCCAACCTGTCTTCAAACTGTCTCCAACCTGTCTTCAACCTTTCTCCAACCTGTCTTCAAACTGTCTCCAACCTATCTTCAACCTGTCTCCAACTGTCTTCAACTGTCTCCAACCTGTCTGCGGTGTGTTAGATCTGCATGTTGACCTTGGACCAGGAGCTCTCATCTGAACAGGAAGCAGCTGAGGCTACAGCCACACTGTTATGAGGTGATATCAAGACTAGTGTTTGTCTGTTTTAGTGATGATCGCAGAATGTGCACTTGTTACATGCTCATAAGACCTTTTAAAAAACTGCATTGTCAGGTGATGATTTTGTGGTGTATTAACTCCTTCAGGAGTTGGGGTGGATGTGATTCTACAACAAGAAGTAATAAACAGAACACAAATTACAATAAAATATAAACACCAATAATGCAATTAGCGGCTAGTTATCTTGAAAGCCTCACTACTAGGCCCAAAACCTTAAACTGTATTTGGTAATAAAGAAAGTAAAACACTTTTAATTACTTGTGTATCAGTCACTTATAAAGTTAAATTAAGTAACATAAAGCAAATTAACATAAGGTAAAATATCCATCCATCCATCCATCCATCCTTCCATTATCTATACCCGTTTATTCCTTTTTCTAGGGTCACTGGTGCCCATATCCAGCAGTCACAGTGCGAGGGGCGGGGTACACCCTGGACAGGTCGCAGGTCCATCACAGGGCCCAGTCTAGCTTAGCATAGCATATCTTCCACTTAGTTAGACTAACAACATAAAATGTTCAGAATAACAAAATAACATCCTGTCTAGACACAAACACCAAAACTCACCAATCTTAAGGACACACATTCCGGTTCGAACCACCAAAAGCTGCCACCAAACATGACCCTCTGTAATCTTCCACTGCATTTTATAAACACCATGTTACAGGAATAAAACATGACTCAAAAATAACGGCAGCGCCCTCTAGTGGTGAGGCTGAAAAACTGTATTACAGTCCTGCCTTCAGATCCTAACCGTTCCGCTGAGGCGCTGCCTTCTCAAAAATCTGCTCAGAAATAAGAAAAGACCACGTTGAGTCGAGTTCAGCTCGATGCTCTGACTGTAAAGATGATCACACACACACAGACACACACACACACACTCACAGAGCCAGACTGTGGCTTTCAGTCCGTAGAACCTCTGCCACCTGCAGCTCCCTTCTGATCCACTGGGTGGTTTAAAGTCAGTGAGCCCAGGCTGCGGTGTGCAGACGTGTCTCTGTGTTTCCGGTGGACTCAGCGCAGCTTGTTTCCTGTGGGCGAGCTGATCGATCCACTTCCTGCTTGGCCTTTGACCCTCCTGCTCCCGCCTCGCTCCGTGGGCTTGTTGTGTGACTCTGCTGTGGTCTGCTCTGGTTTCGTCTCTCCTGTTTCAGTGTGTTCTGTCTCAGAGATGTGGTTCTGTGTCGATAAGGTTCTGCTCTGATTCTGGATGGACTGATTCTACAACAAACAACTTTAATGGTTTTTAAAAATGATGAGTGTAATTCTTCATTTGACCATGAAAAGCAGTAAAAATCTGTGTTTGTTTACGTGGGTACCTGAGTGTTGTGGTGGTGTCCCAACATGTTTCACTGGTTCTTCTGTTTCCTGCAGGGAATCTGGTCTCACAGTCGTACAAACAGCACGACATCGGAGGGATGGACTGAGCGCCGCTCGCTCTAGATTTGTGCAGGAGCACAGAGGAGCTCACAAAGAGACACAAACCCTCACGTTGTGTACAGATTCTCCTTCTTGCAGACACTTTCCTCCTCCAATCAGAGAGCAGGAAGCCTCCTCGGCTCGGATCAGACAGGAAGCGTGAGGCAGCCGAGTGGCCCGCCTCTGTAGGACCCATCATGTATAGAACCCCCTCGTCCTGTTAGTGTGTTTTCTTCTTGTTTTTTTACATTAAAACATTGTGATTTGTAAAGAATGTGGGCTTTTTATTCAAACTGGCTTCATGCAAACATTGAAACAGTAAAAGAAACGACGTGCTGTTAAAATTATACTTTTATTTATATAACAGTAAAAATTTATTACAATAAAATATATATTTCTTTAATATAAAAAGTTTTAAGTGGTAAATAAATATTCTCTGAGATACAAATGAAAGCTGCAGATGTAAACATAAATCAGGTGCAGTAATTTGATTTTTAATTAAAGTTATAAAACCAGACATCTTTCTGAAAATAAATGTTTTTTATGTTAAAAGTTTCAGTCAGAAGTTTGACAATATATCGGTTTGTTCAGATGACGATACGATGTATCAGTTTGTTCAAATAATGATACCACGATACATCGGTTTGTTCAGATGATATGACGATATATTGTTTTGTTAAGTTGATATGACGATGTATCGGTTTGTTCAGATGACAATATATCGTTTGTTCAGATGACGATATGACGATACATCAGTTTGTTCAGATGACGATATGATGATATATCGTTTGTTCAGATGACTATATGATATATCATTTGTTCAGATGACGATATGACAATACATCAGTTCAGATGACGATATGACGATAAATCGGTTTTTTCATATGACGATAAATTGGTTTGTTCAGGTGATGATACAATGTATCTGTTCAGATGACGATATGACGATAAATCGGTTTGTTCAGATGATGATATGATATATCAGTTTGTTTGGACGAAATGATATTTCTTTATCACAGTGTCACAATACGAGTTTATTCACTTCACAAGTCAGTGATTGATATAATGCGAGATACAGTATATTCATCTAACATAAATGATTGTGTTGATACGGATGGATTTTTTCCTTTTGCCTCGATGTAATTAAATAATTTAATATATGGATGTGTATTGATGTTACATCCCTAGAAATGATTGAAGGATGATACGTTATAAAAGTTTTTCTAAACATATAATAAATTTACACTAAAAACATAAAAATTGTTTAGCTGCATTTAAACTGATGATTCAATAATTATCATTAAAATTCAGAAATCATATGATAGTTCCTGTTTAGCTTAATATACCTTAAATACAGCATACGGATATATAATTGTTTACGTTGATTAGATCAACCTTCATGTAGTCAGGAGACATGTAGGAACATACATGATGATAGCACGCAGAGCTCAGAAAAGAGTGCAGGTAGTTGGATATTTGGACGTAAACACCTTGTTCTCCGTCCCGTACACGAAGAAGCTGTAGTCCTTCCCATTGTACGAGTAAAAGGCGTGGGTCAGAGGGACCAGCTCGATGGTCTGACGCTGTGGGCGGAGACAGAAGGTGGACATGACCAGGACAATAAAAACAACCCAAACCTCGCCAAAACATACAAGGAAAATTCAAAGTTTAGACCAAAGAGGTTCCATTTCTACATGGATAGGTTGAGACAAGAAATCTTTCTGATCAGGTTTCAGTAAACCACAGAACGCGCAGCTCTACCTGCTGCAGGATGCGGCTGGTGGAAGTGAAGCGCAGGAGATGTTCGTTGGTGAACTTTGTGGAAACGTCACAGATCTCCTTATCAGGAAATCCCTGGATGGGATACACCTGACAGAAGCGAGAGGAGAGGGAACAAACTGAACAAAAAAACCTGCATTAGCTTTAGTCTGAAGTTTCTGATCAGATTTAATGAGCCTCATGCAAGAACATTTTTGTATCTTATCCAAAATTTCTCTTACTTTTGTTCCTACAAACATGCCACGTCAGATTCAACAATCTTCTATCTTCAGGGAAAGTGTGTAAATGAGCTGCGTAAACTGATGAATGTATCAGGTGCTCTCGCAGGAGGAGAGGGGATTAGCATAATTAGCACCCTAAAAACACCATATAAGGCTACATTTCCTGCCCCACATACCAGGAAGGGTCCATTCATAAATTATATCTTAAAGTAAAATAAGAACTTCAAGAGTTTGTAGATTAAAGTCCTGCTCTCAGAGATCCAGAAAAGAAAATCTGTCATTTTTAGCAGCGTCAGCTGTGGAATTAAAGGAGCTTCTAAAGCTAAGAATGAAATGTGCTGTTAATGTTGTGTCTCCTGTGGGTCGTATACAGACACAGAAATAATCTAAAAAACATTCATCTCTAGTCCTGCTCCGGTTTTCCTTTGGTCAAATATTTTTAATTTCAGTGTAAACGACTGTGTTACATTGTTTTCATTTAGAAGAGCCACAGACCGATGTGACAGTCGTCCAGCCCCCCGATGAAAGTGGTGTCAGATGTGTTTCTGAAAAAAGCATTTTAAAATGTCTCCAAAAAATGTCTCACTTTGGAGAAAAAGTCATAGCTGACGTGTTGAATAAATCTCAACAAAATAAAATTTGATCAAAAATATAACAATCTATAAAGTTCGGTATATCGGTAGCTTGGTATGCTTGTTTGTCTTTGTGTCTATGGTGTATAATGATGTGATTGTGATGCTGTAATTCTGAGTGTTTTATGTGCTGCAGAACAGGAACCTGCTGTAAAACAGCAATTATGCTGAGTCAGGCTTGATTTTTAATTATCTTTTCCTGTTAAATAAATAAATCAAATCACTTTAGCACTCTAATCTGAATTCATCCACTATTATTTATTTCAAAAACATTATTCGGTACTAACTTTGCCATTTTTTAGTCCATAAATGTGTTCCTCTTGCAGATTTTTTATCTTCATGAAAAGGCATGTAGTGGCTCAGTCGTGTCCATCACAACAACATCCACGCAATAAACTTCAGTGAAAGTGACAAACCAGAAACCATAACACGTTATAACGAGATGGTTATCTTGATAAAACAAGATAGTTTTCTCATTTCTACAAGATTCCTCATAACGAGATACTTCAGCCATTATAACGACATATTTTCTCATTTTTATGAGATAATTTTCTCGTTATAACGAGATCCAGTTTAAAAATAATTACGTCATGTGACAGCTTTAAGATTCCATAACAAACTAATGAAATATAAAGTTATTAGTGAAGAACAACCGTCTGATAACAGCAGACTGACTGCTGGTAAAATATACGACAGGTCTGGACCACTCCTGAATTTTGTTCATATCTGAAAAAAAATCTTAGAATATGAGAAAATTGGTGAATGTCACAAATTCTCCTAAATCACTCGTACGCACAACTTAAGAACAAATCTGTGCGTACCAACGGTTCTTGCATGAGGCCCAATGACATTCACCAATTTTCTCATTTTTTTGCCATAAGTTCAATTTTTTTTTCTTTTCTGGATCTCTGAGAGCTGGACTTCAATCTCCGAACTAGTGAAATTAGGTGTCAACGATAGCCATGTGATGTGAGTATCAGTCACATGGAGGCAGTGCTTAAAAGCCTGAATTTAGCCTGAAACTCTCAGACTGAAGAAGTCTCTTGGAGAAGAGACGAAACGTTTCATTGGAGAAGAACCCGTCCAGAAGACCTATACTATTTTTTTCTTAGTGAAGTTCTTATTTTTACTTTGCGATGTCATTTATGAAGGACACTTCCTGGTATGTGGGACAGGAAATGTAGCTTTGTGTGGTGTTTTTAGGGTGGTAATTATGCTAATCTCCTCGTGAACGAGCACTTGATACACATGCATCATGTTTCTGCTGCTCATTCACACACTTTTTCTGAAGATATAGGAGTTTCTTGAATCTGACGTTGCGTGTTCATACGAATAAAAGTAAGAGAAATTTAGGATAAAAACATGACAATAAATAGTTCTTGCACGAGGCCCATTGTTTCCAAAGCAAAGAGCAGAAACTGTGAGGTTTCTACCAGCACGTTCTCATCGATGAAGAAAGGATCTCCTGAAACTTTCTCAAACTTCCTGTCAGGGAAGTCAGGCTGGCGGTCCGGGATGAAATTACTGACGTGGTTCTTCCTGCACTCGAAAAAACACAACAAATAAAACTAAAGACCTAAAACCACAGAGACACCAGGAGGACTTCCTGTCAGACCCACCAGGTGACTGTGAGCTGGATGAAGTGCAGCAGGTTCTGAGCTCCGTGACAAACAGAGCAGGTTTTGTAGCCGTCGCCTCTGCAACTCAAACACCTGCAGGAGTGAAGAAGGTTTCACCGTTTCTCACAGCTCGATTCTTATGAAGGACTAAATCAGATCCAGGAGGAACAGAAAACAGATGACCTCTGACCTTTTGCGGCCTCGACCGTGACAGGAAGTGCAGCGTTTGTTCCTGGCTCGACCGTGGCCGTGACAGAAGGTACACCGCTTCTGATGACGAGCAGAAAGTTGGTCAGAATTTTTACTAAACAAACTGTTGATTTTATTACAAAACTGATGACTTTATCAGCAAACACAAAACACTGCTTCTGGTACTAAAATGAAACTAGCTGGATGTGTGGAGCTGAGAACCGATCCTCTCACCATGCCTCGGCCGAAGCAGCCGGAGCAGCGAGTTCTCCCACAGCCTCGACACTTGTGACACATCTGAAACACAAACACTGTCACACAACACAAACAGCCGCCGATCAGAAAACTTAAACCGAACGACAACAAACCTTCACAAATGAGGAGTGCGGCACTCGGATCTTCTCCACCTTATCGGTGTAGACGGGCGGTACCGACACCGGGATGTCCCAGGGAGGAGGACTCATGCCGTGCTGAGGACCGTCCACCGGCTGACCTGTTGGAGCAACAGGAGTCAGTTAGATGTTGGGTCTGAACTGAGACCAAATCCAAGGCCAAAAAAAACTTTTTTTTGTTTTTACTCCTGTCCAATAACTTTCTATAATATTCCTGTTTAAACATCTGTAAAATAGTTGTCAGTTTATTTTTATTTTTTATATTTATTCTCAGCGTCATCTGTTCTGTATTTTATGAACTCTTTATAGAGCCTGTTCTTTTTAACAAGGATTTTGTAACGCCTTTATGATCCATATATCATGTCTGAAACTGATCCGAACCACAGGAAGACGTCCTGCTGACCATCGCTTTGCTTCAGAACCATTTATAATCAAATTAAAATAACTTTAGATCATTTTGTACAAACCAGCAGCATGTTGTGTTTGTAGAACGTCTTTCAAATGTTTTTTTTAGACATTTTTAAAATTCTGTTTTAGTTGTGAGTTTCTACCGTTGTAGGGCTCAAACTGCCAGGCGCTGGTTCTGGTCTCGGTGTAGGTCTCCAGTCGGTACTGCAGGAGGAAGAGGAGTTTAAAGGGTTAAACTGATCAGTCTTCCTCCATCTGTCTGCATGAGAGATGAAGTCGTACCCGGTACACGGTGACGGGTTTCAGGTCCTTGAAGGTGAGGTTTCGGGCCGGTTTGGAGCTGTACTTCCATTTGGACTCCACGAACTTGAGCAGAGCGTCCCGGGCCACGTCCTCCGACACCGATGGGACCCTGCAGCAGGACGGACAGTTTGTCACCTCACCCAGAGGGGCTTCAGCAGAGTGGTAAAGTAACTAAGTAAAAATACTTGGTTTCTGTACTTATGTAGAATTTTTTGGTATCTGTACTTTACTTGAGTAATTATTTTTCAGCGTACTTTTTAATTACATTTTTAAAAAAGACAAGAAGTAGAAAGTCGTTACTTTTATTTCATTTTTACTTGTTTTCATTGCAGCTTGTTATTGTAAAAAATAAAAACCATCCATATAAACTGAGCCTCCTAGATAGAGTGAATTTAACTGTGGTTGAATGAGAAGTATAAATATATAAAACTCTGATAGTGTATTAGTTTGTACACAAACAAATCATGTCACACTCCAGCAGGACAGGGTAAATGGATTGTAGTTATATAGCACCTCTCTATCCATCAGGGACACTCAAAGCTCTTCACACTGCAGACTTTCACCCATGCACACACACATGCACACACACATGCACACACTG